AACAGAAGCGGATGCTGGGTGGAGCGGGTGCTGGGTGGAGCAGGTGCTGGGTGGTGGTGCATGCCTGTAACCCCAGCAGCTCAGGACACTGAGACAGGAGGATCAGGAGATCGGAGGCCAGCCTGAGCAACATAGTGAGACCCCGCCTCAAAATAAAAATGGGGGAGTGGGAGAGACACAACCTGGAGACATATCTCAGTGGTAGAGCTCCCCCGGGTTCAATCCCCAGCACAGGGGAAATTTTCTCACAGTTCCAGAAAGAGAAGAAAAGAGAGAAGATGAAGGAGAAGAGAATCAAGGGAACATTAGCAGACAAAGGCTGAGGACTTTCCAGACAGAGGAAAAACATCATTGGGCAGGGGTGCCACTGGGGTTGTGGCTCAGCAATAGAGAGCTCTTCTAGAATGTGCGAGGCCCTGGGTTCGATTCTCAGCACCACATAAAAATCAATAAATAAAATAAAGGTACAAAATAATTATTAAAAAAAAAAACACATCACTTCCATAGGTTCAAGAAGACTTATGAAGCCCAAGCAGGTTACACACAAAGAAATCTAACCCTGGAAGCCAGGTGTGGTGGCACACATCTGTAATCCCAGAGACTCTGGAGGCTGAGGCAGGAGGATCGTTAATTAGAGGTCAGCCTCATGAATTTAGACCCTGTCCGAAAATATAAAATAAAATAAAAAGGAATAGGGATGTAGTTCAGGAGCAGAGCGCCCCTAGGTTAGGTCCCAAGTGTGGGGAGGGGCAGTCTGTGCGCCTAACCACACCCAATCCCACCCCTTGATTGCTACACCCACCAGATTCCATTGTAAATGCCGCTTCCCTACTCCCCACCGCAAAAACAAAATGTTCTTTTTTTAATTTTAAAATTATGTCACTAAAGCAAACGGAAAAATTTGCTACTGTCCCTTTTCATTCCTGTAGAGACGCAGAAGTTTAAGGACAGGTGTTCTGTGCACCTGTGCTTCTCTCCAACCTCTGGGCTGCCCACCCTCCAGAACCCCCTAGAAGAGCGGAACCTAGGCCCTTGCCTGAACAACGGCTCCCCGCAGCCTGGAGCCCATCTGTCCACTGAAACAAGACCAAGGTCTCCTGGCCTCTAACGACCCTCGCTTGACTTTGGGTGGGTCTCAGGTGAAGTTGATTGCTGGGCACCTGAAAATCCTTCTGCCTTAACCTCCTCTGAGAGCCAAGATCCATCTCCAGGGCTGTGACCCTGTGCGCCAACCCTAACACGGTTGACCCCTCTGCAAGGGCCCAAGAAAACCTACCCGGCGCCCCCCGCCCCTCCCGCGACTCTCCCCCAGGGGCCCTGCTCTCTGCCCGAAAGAGGGCGCTGTCTCCGCGCCCCAAATTGTCTGCCCCTGGGCGGCGGCCGGGAAGGGGGCGAGTACTTTTCCATGGAACTGAATAGCGCCGAGACGTGGTCCTTCCTGATAACTCCGCAGGGCGGCGAAGGGGAGGCAACCCTGGGAGGAAGGGTTCCAAAAAGGAGCGGCTCTCAGCGGCTTACCGATCCCCGTCCAGTGGGTTGATTCCACAAAGTTGCACCGGGAAGAGGGGAGGGCAGTAAGAAGGAAGTGGTCTCCATCTGAGGTCCAGATATTTTTCCCCCAGGATTTAGGGAGAAACTTGCCCTGCTTGACAAGGCCTGGAGGCAAGGAATGTCGAGTAAAAAGCCAACCCCACCCTCCTGCCTGAAAACACTGATGCGGACAATAGACCATAAGTCAATTAGTCATCTTCTCTGAAGGGGGCAGAGGGCTTGGCTCGGCTCCAGTGGGAAGGCTGGTGATTCATTCAAATGAAACTTCAGGGATGGGCTGGGTCAATATTAACCGAAGCTGCGTTTGGCCCATCCCAGGGGCCCCCATTGTGCCCATGTGTGAGCACCTCATGATTCACAAGTTCATGATCCCCAACATAAAGGACCCCATCTCTGAACGCAGGGAGAGAGAATTCTAGTGGGGTCCTCCATGGGCTGGTGCTGGGGCTCAGTGGTGGAGCACTGACCTGGCATGCTTGAGGCCCTGGGTTTGACCCCCAGCATCATGAAAATATAAAAATAAAATAAAATKTGCCTCTCTACCTGCAACTGGAGCATGAGTAGCTTCAATCAACTCTACAGTCTTTAGTGGTCTCAGAAACCACCTCAGACCCGACTCATGCATCTCAGATGTCCCTATGGTGAGAGGGGATTGGCCCCACCCCAGGGCCCATCCAGCACTTCCCCTGTCACCACACCCAGAGCAAAACATGTCTTCAGGGAGCTGCTAGGATGATCTCTGCTCCACTCTAGGGACCCCAAGCTGCTCACAGCCCAGACACCACTTCCTTCTCCAGTCTCACCCTAGATCTCTACTGGAGACCATTTGAGTCTTAAGATGGCTTCCCCAAGGGGGCGGGCATCTTTTCTAAATCACATAAAGTCTCCTTATGAGCTAGCAGCAGCCTTACAGGGCAGATGGCCAGTGAGTCAGTCCAGAGGTTAACTGATGGCTGGTACAGCCAAACCCAGGAGGAATCAGAAATCACTGGAAAGCCATGACACAAGGATAGATTCAGCAATAACAACAACAACAAAAAATTTATTGTGCAATTACCCACCACTGGATTGGACTCAGACAAGCCCCCAGAGGGCATCTCCACCTTCCCAACTTATTTGTAGTCCTTGAGGGCATCATTGTAGATCAAAGCCAAGGCCCCTAGGAAGGTGACATACTCCTGGAAGTTCACCTCCTGGTCCTTGTTCCGGTCCAGGTCTTCCATCAGCCTKGAAATTTCAGCATCCTGCAGCTTCTAATGTTTTGGAAGGGAAAGTGCAGACTCAGGAATGAGCCCCTGGATGCTCTCCCTTCCTCCCTCCCAGGCAGCTCTGCTCTCATACATTGGCTCTGCTCAGGGACATCCACCTTGGGTTCAGCTTGGCTTCACCTCTCTYCAGTCCCTGCTCCTCCCTTGGGGGACTGAACACCAGGATGAGACTATCCCCACCCCGGGAGGGAATGGATCTTCAGCTCAGGGAGGCCAGYGGCCCAGGGCCAGATGGCTGAGTGGGCAGAGGGGCCTGGGGAGGAGGCCACTCACCGCACCGATGGAGAGCTCCTTCTGGATCAGTTCCTTGAGCTCCTTCTTGCTCAGGGTGCTCTTGTCACCCTCCCTGCCCGAGTACTTGTGGAAGATGGCCACGAGCAGACCAATGGCCTGATCCAGGGGGCACGCCATGACTGAGGGCTGGACCTAGAGCTGGTGACAGAAGGGCTGGTGAGTGTCACAGCACCAGGGACTTCTTGCTCACCACACACCCCCAGAGCTCTGTCCCCACAGCCTGCCTGAACCACCCAGCCTCAGGCCACACACCGGTGGCATCAGGAGGCAGCACAGGAGAGGTGGGAGCAGACTGAGGCCAGGGGACAGCGCCCCAAGAGGCCACCGCGGGGGAATAGAGACGGTTCAGGGTTCTGAGGAGCAAACGGGCCGATGGCTTGGATCAGGCCGAGGCTCCTTTCCAGGCTTCCAGGAAAAGGGAAGGAGTGTGACTGGGCAGCGGAGGGGATGGRGGCTGCCCTCACACCTCGCAGGGCCACACACTGCGACAGTGACACACCCAGGACACACCCTCCCGCACCGCAGGAAAGCCCGGGGCTGCCTGGCACAGCCCGCCGCCTTTCCCAGCAGACCCTCTGGCCCCAGCACCGCCGAGGGGGCCAGTGAATCCCGACCCCGAGGGGGAGGCAGGGGGTAGCGGGCGGGGACGCCTGGCCCGAGCGCGAGCCGGCCCTAGGAGGACCCCTGCGCTGTCCCGGCGAGAACTCACCACGATCGAGGCAGCGGAGCAAGACGGGAGCAGCGAGGGGACGGGCTGTGTCGCAGTCCGGCTGGCCTTATAGCGGCCGGCCGCATCCGGGAGGCCGGCTGGGGACAGCCCACCGCCCCACCCCGCCCCGCCCCAGCCCGCTCACAGGACACCGCACCGGGTCCCCTGGATGTCCACGCCCAGGGCTGTTCCGGGTAGGACGGGATTGAGAAAGCCTAGCAGCCGGACTAGGGTGTCTAGGGGAGACCACTGCAGGCCAGGTGACATCAGAGTTGCCCCCAAACTTTCAGAGTTCACTTTGCCCTCCGTGGTCTATGACAGGGCGGGGAGAGGGAGCTCCGGGGGAGGCGGTGGCCGCGGTCATCCCTGCATCTTCTGCAGCCACCGGCCGCCAGAGCTTGGATGTGGCCCTAAAGCAGCGACCGTGTGGGGAGGGGGAGAGGGAGGGAGGATCTCACAAGAGACCGGTGTCCCCCACCCCCTCAGGGTGATCAGTCAACTTTAGAGGAGGGAGAGGGAGCAGCCAGGGGTCGCAAGATGATTCAAAGACTCTAGATCACCCGTCCCCAATTTCCTCTCAATATCAACACTCCACCCCCCACCCCACCCCACCCCCGGAATTCCTCTCCCACAACCATCTCACGTGGAACTGCACACCCGCCTGAGCCAAGTCCGCCCCGCGGCATTAGTTATTCACTCTTGAGTGAAAAGTTTTCCAGATCCTCTCTTGAGAAAAAAAATCTAGAGAGGGGGAGGCAGAGGGAGAAGAAAGCACTGGCCCCCAGAGACAATTGGGGCAGGGGAAGGATGCTTCTGAGAGGGGATGCAGCAGAGGGAAAGGGCTGGAGCGGAGCCAGACTGCCCCSAGAGCTAGCCACAAGCCAGAACTGATTGTCATCACTGCCTTCTGAGCCACACCCAGCGCTCCGGCCTCTTCACTCTCAAAGTACTTTCTCTGTTAGTTTCCTCTGCTTTTCTGCAGCCTGCAGAGAGCAGGCTGCAAAAGCTTCCCTGTTTTTCAGGAGGGCAAAACTAAGCCAGGACAAGCTCCATGACAGCAAGTGGGGTGGGCGCTCAGGACCCTAACACCCAGAAACTGTCTCCACTCACTAACGGAGGTCATCTAGTGCCCTTTCCCACCCACACCAGAGGGGACAAGACACCTGCAAGAACAGCCTCCAGACACTTAAGATGGAAAATCTTTATTGCCTCTGCTGGAAGAGTCTATCAGGAAGGAAGAGGAGGGTCAGGGGCCAAAGAGGGTCCTCAAAGGAGCTAGAGAGGTCAACAGCTGTGGCAAACAGAGAGGGCAGAGGGGAGCCCCAGTCATTGGTTGTCCTCCAGGAAGAAGTCATTGTAGGCCATGCACAGCGTGGTCAGGAACACCGAGTACTCCTTGAAGTCAATCTCCTGGTCGCTGTTTTTATCCAGGCTCTTCATCAGGTCGTCAATGCTGCTCTCCTTCATCTTCTGCAAGGGTCCAGGTGGGGGGACAGCTCAGAAACCCCTCTCCGCCCTGCTCCACCACGTAAGACACCCTCAACGTGATGTCCAGCTAAGTCAGCACCCCTGTATGCATGCTGATCCCCAGAATCTCCCCCCCCCCCAGCCCACACCTGGCTCAGGGTCTGGCGCCCCGTAGGGATCAGTGACCTGACTCCTGACTCCAAATAAATTGCAATAGGAAAGTTAGCCTAGTCTCTCCTCCTCCACATCTTCCCCTGTTAGAGAAGTAATAACCTAAGGCTGGGGATGTGGTTTAGTGGTAAAGCTCTTGCCTAACATGTTTGAGGGCCTAGGTTTGATCCCCAGGATTGCAAAAAAATAAAAGCAAAGGACTAGCCAGGCATGGTGGCACAAGCCTGTAATCCCAGCTACCTAGACTCTGAGACAAGAGGATCACAAGTTTGAGGCTAGCCTGGGCAACTTAGCAAGACCACGTCTTAAAATAAAAAGGGGCTGGGAATATAGCTCAGTTATATAGCACCCCATGTTCAATCCCTGCTAATGCAAAAATCATGATCATCCTCCACATGCTAATACCTAATAAAAAACAGCTTAAGGATTATGTGACACTGAGCATCATCTAAATCTCAGACTTATTCTGTCCTGTTTGTTTGTTTTGTTTTGTTTGTTTTTGCCATGCTGGGGATTGAACCTAGATGGGCTGTTCCACTGAGCCACATCCCCAGCCCTTTTTATTTTCAGACAGGATCTCACTGGGTTGTGCAGGTTGGCCTCCAACTCGGGATCCTCCTGCCTCAGACTCCTGAGTGGCTGGGATTCCAGGTGCACCCCTGGCAGTAGTCTGTCTCCATGAGAACAGTACATGGAAGCTGAGAAGCCCTTCTGTGCCTTCCCCGTACGAGAGCTGGACTGAAGCTCAGCCTAGCATTGGGTTGTGCTGTCCGTCTGGTCCCCTGTCCTCTCACCCTGGTTCCACCAGAAGGGTGGAGACAGAGCCCTCGGGATGGAACAGGACGGAACCACAGACAGGCAGATGCTGCCTTCCCTGTCTTTGCCCTCAGCTCCAGATCTTCCTAGGATCCAGGATGCCGGCACATGTGGAGATGGAAACTACCTCTTTGCAACAGGATCCTGGTTCTTCTCTAGGCTCCTGTGATAGCTAGGCCCTCCCCTGGGACTCTGTCCCCTAGTAACTAACCCCTGATGAGCTGGTAGCCCCTCCCTCTGCCCTCACCAACTCCAGGACAGTGCGATCCAGGCAGGAAGGTCYGAGAGCAGACTGGGGACACCTGTCCCTGCTGCATCTTCTGCCCATGGGGGCATGCTCTAGGGAACTTCTCTCTGGGGGCAGAAGGATGTGTCTCCTTCCTACCCTGTGTTCCCCCGCCTTGAGGACAAATTGTAAAGGAAAAAGGGSGGGTAATGCGCAGGACTGCCCTGGAACTGCAGCTCAGCCTCTCYCTGGACAAATTCCATATAAGTTTCTTGATGTTTTTATTCCTCCCCTGCGTGGTACTGGGGGTCAAACCCCAGGGTGCCCGACCACCAAATTAYATCCTCAGCCCTTTTCATTCTTTATTTTGAGACAGGGTCTCACTGAGTAGCCCAAGTTGGTCTTGAACTTGTGGTCTTCCTGCCTCGACCTCCTAAGTCTCTGGGATTACTGACATTGCGCCACCACAACCAGCCTGAGCCTTGATGTTTTTTTTTTTTAATTGTCAAAATAAGATGATGTCTACTCGTGGGCCTTCCCCTCTGTCGGTCACCTCCCTTCTACCTTCTCCATCTGATAATAATCAGCTCTGTCTCCTTCCTACCCTGTGTTCACAAATTAACCCTTAATCTGCAGGTCGGCACCATCTGAGAGCCATGGCTCTGCCAGGCACAGCACACAGAAGCAGGCAGGGTCCCCCCTTGACCTAGATACCTGGCACTTTGACCCTGCAGGATTCCTAGCACAGGCTCCGCCACTTCTGTCACAGCCTGGCCCCACCATCAAGAAAGCATCCCGGGCTGGGGCTGGGGCTCAGTGGTGGAGCGCTTGCCTTGCATGCATGAGGCACTGGGTTCCATCCCCAGCTCCACATAAAAAGCTAAATAAACAAAATAAAGGTATTGTGTGCATCTACATCTAAAAATGTTTTAAAAAAAGAAAAGAAAAGAAAGTATCTGCCTCTGATTTTATAGCCCTTGCGCAGGCTTGCGGTGTAGCCCAGGCTCGGCCCTTCTCCTTCTCAGCAAGCCTGACTCATGCCCAGCACAGAGATCTAGAACTCTGTTAGCTTGAGAAGTCCACCCTCTTCCTTCTGTCTCTGGCCATACCTTTCATCCATCCCCACCCCTGGCTTAGACCTGAGTCCCCCAAGGGCAGATTTGTGACTTTGTTGGTGGGGGGGTGAGAAGAAATGGTCACCTACCTCCCCAAGACTCAGCTCCTTCTTGATCAACTCCTTTAGTTCCTTCCTACTCAGGGTCAGCTTGCTACCCTCTCTCCCCGAGTATTTGTGGAATGTGGTGACCATAGTGGTCAGGGCCTTCTCAAGTGGAGTCTCCATCACAGTGTGCAGCTCTAGAGCAGGGAGAGGAGAAGTCATAGTCCTCAGGAAGCCAGAMCTTCTGTCCACCATCATCACTCGCCCACCCAGAGCCCCTCCCTCAAAGGACTGGGGACTGGAACCCATGATGAGACCCAAATCCAACAGCAGAAGGACATTACAGTGAGACTGGCCAGCCCCCAAAGGAACTGCGGACTCCTCCACTAGGGAGATGTTGGCAAAGCGGGGCTGGGGCAGAAAGAGGACAGATGACCTCCCCAAGAGAACTAGTCACAGAKAGCAGAGCAGAGAAGGGGCCACGGTTTTTTCTCTGCCCTGCCCAGCCTGAGCACTGGTTTTACCTCCTCTCCTCCAGCACCTGAATCACCTGACATCAAGGAATGTCTTGCTGTAAAGTAGGGGACAGGGCAACGGGTGTCCGAGGGTAGGAGGGGCTGGGGCTGAAAGCTCATAGCAGGAAGCAGGAAAGAGGTGACTGGACTTGCCTGTCTGACCTCCGGTCTCAGGCCAGTGACTTGCACCCAGGAGGCCTGGAGGCCAGAGGACTATTGACATCTAACTCCAGGGTCTTTCTGAGACCTGGACCAGAGGTGGGGTTGGAATGAGGGCCTCAATGCTGTCAGCACAGCCACCCCTCAGAGATAGCTGAGCTTCTGCAGCTCAGACTCAAAACCACTTCCCCTCGGGGAAGGACGAGGCCCTACCCATGGACCTTGAGCAATGCAGCCGGCCTGGTGGAGAGCCCTTAGCCAGGGGGAGGAATGACTGGCTCTGGCTCCAGCCCGAAGCCCACCTGCCTGTCCTTGAGCTGGAACCCTCATTCATCTCCCACCTCCCCAAATCCTCATCTTCCCCCCGCCCCCGGGAGGCTCAGCCAGGACATGATTGCAGTCACAATCCCAGCACTCTGCCCTCTCCTCCCGGACACACACCCTCTTGCACAGCCGGGCCTTCCCTGAGGAGGTCTCCGAGGCTGGTCACCCTGCGACCTCGTCACCCAGCTCAGGCCAGCAGAGGTGAACAGAGATCAGAAGGAGGGACTCACCAGGGAGGGCGCGAACCCGAGGAGTGCCAGCAGCCGCCGCCGCCTCCCTCCCCGTTCTCTGCCTTTATTCCCTGGCTCCCAGTGCCCAGGGGATSGGGGAGAAAAGGCCAATGAGGAGGGGTCAGGGACGTGAGGACACCCAGCAGAGCCTCCTGGGAAGGACTGGGGAGAAACCCCTGCTGCACATTTGCCTTCCTTGTTTACAGGTGGGGGGYGGGAGGGGGCACACATAGCTACAGTTCCAGAAACGTCATTTTTCTAACCCAAAACCAGAACTCACCATCTGATAGAGTAATAGGCAGAAGAAGGGAAGTCGGGCTGTTTTGGAAACAGAAGCCTAGGAGGAATGAGCCAAATAAAAGGTATCTCCCCAAGGCCGAGGGCAATGCTCCACATGGAACCCGCCCTACCACCCTCTCCAAGAGCAGAGGAGACGCCTGGAGATCCCTGACTGTCAGTGGAGGAGGTATTTCCTATAAGTCAGGATCCTTAGCTGACWCGGAGCCAAAGGTTTTATTTGTTTTGTTTTCTTGTTTTTTTGCACTAGAAGTTGAACTTAGGGTGCTTCACCACTGAGCTTCATCCCCAGCTACATCTTTTTTATCTTGAGAGTCTTGCTAAGTTGCCCAGGCTGGCCTCCAAATTGCAATCCTCCTACCTCAGCCTCCCAAATTGCTGAGATTACAGGCATGTGCCATTGTTCCCAAAAAGCCAAAAGTTTTTAAAGGGCTCTTAAATGAATGATTTTTTTTTTTAAACTTCACTAAGAAATTCTTCATGGGAAAGAATTGTTGGAGACTCTGGGCACAGAGGACTGAGAATCAGGGATTGGGGGGGGGGATACAGGGAAAGGTTAGCACTTTGTGATGACATAGAGACTGTGGCTAGGAGAAGGGGTCCAGGTTCAGGGTGCAGTCGTGGGTGGGGTGAATGTCAGGGAGGGTAACTCAGATGATGTAATACCACCAGGCCAACTGATTGTAACAGAAGGGGTTAGGGGCTCAGTACCCACCACTGCTACAGTCCTACCCTGGCCTGCCTGGATCTTCCTGCGCCCCCTACACCACCCCACCCCGGCTGCAAGGCCAATGAGGCAGCAGGGACTGGTTGCTAAGCAACAGGAGTTTCCGAAGTAGAACATGATGCAGGAGGAGGCTCAGGGGAGGGCCTCCCAGGAAAGATGGCAGATGGACTCGGAGAGAGCAGGGGAGGAGGCGGTTTTTCCTGGACCAGCCTCTGAAGTCAAATTCCAGGGGAAGATGTGAGTCACCTGCCACACTCCTCTGAGGCGGGAGAGAAAGGCCCAGAGTGATTAGAAGGGAAGCCTTAGAGGTCAAGGACCAACCCTGCAGCCTCTGGGCTGGACTTCTACGCACCCCTTCCTTAAAGGTCCCCACATCATCCAGAAATAGCTTTGAAATCTAACTTCAGTCTCACTGTAGCCCGAAGTCACCAGCCTTTAGCCTRCCCTAAGGGAGAGCAACAGCAGACCTCTTTTGGGGGGAGGAGATCTCAATTTCATTCATCAGATCATCTGTCTGGAATTTTATCTCTAAAGCTACGGTCATTCCCCATCATCTCCCTCACTCCTACCCGGCACCATCCCTCCCTCAGCCCTTCTGAGGCCCCTCATCCATCGTCCATCGGTGAAGGAGCCTGATAACAGATCTCCTCCCTGACAATCTGGGGGCAGCTACAGTGGATTGGAGCATTACCATATTCTCGTGCCACTGCTGACCCTCTCCCTCCCTCCGCACGGCCCTCCCTGATCCAGCCATTGACGGGAAGGGGACAGAAGTAATCCTTCCCTGTGGTTCAAAACCAATGAGCTAGAAGGGTAAYAGAACAGGGCCAGGAGCCCAGCCCAGCCCACTCACCCCACAACTCCCTCCCTGTGACTCAGCCCTATTGTCTTCCCTCCAGACCCCAACCAGGAGCAGATGTGACCTTCCATCCCAGCCTCAGTATGAAGTTGGAGGGTGGGRGGCTGGCTAAGATCCCACAGCTGGGGCTTCCCCAACCTCTGGTGGTCCCTCTCCCGGCCTCAGCTCTACCCAGCATTCACACACGCGCACACACACCCCTCTGTCACCCCACATTCCCCCCCCAACGTCACTAAACTGCAGCTCAACTCCCAGTGCTCCCCTCCCCCACCCCATGACCCATCCCCCAGATCATCAGCCTTATAGCTTCCAAATATCTTTTTATTGAACTTGCTCAGGGTTCTGCACCACGGCATRAACTCATCTGCCGACCTGGAAGACCTCTTTGGCAGACCTCTACCCCCAGCTGCACCGGAGGAACCTTTACTTCTTCCGGGGCTGCTTATCCGGGAAGCCTTCAAAGAATTCRTTGCACATCATGGCGATGCAGGACAGGAAGACGCAGTACTCCTGGAAGTCCACCTCGTTGTCCCTGTTGCTGTCCAAGTTGCTCATCAGCTTCTGGAATGCAGCATCGTCTGTTCTTTTCTGGAGGGAGAGAAGGCTACGGTAGAAAACAGAAGCCGAGGGAACAGAGCCAAGTCTAGACCAGCTTTCCACCTCCAGACTCAGGGGAGAAGGAGCTCCTGGGGAGGGATTCTGAGTCTGTATTGTCACTGGGAAATGAGGGGACCACATCTTCACCCAAGATTGTTCCAATGATTCAATCAGAATGGTCCTGAAAGCAATGTGTTTGCAGGAGAAGTCTGTAGGTGTGTGTGCGTCTCCATGGTCATGCCTTCACAAATAGAAGCTTGAACACCGTTCATTGTTGGGTGGCAGGAGTCAGACAGTCCTGGTTCTAGATCACATTTTTTTTTTTTTTTGTACTGGAGATTGAATCCAGAGGTGCTCTACCACTGAGATACATCCCCAGACCTCTTTCTTGTTTTTAATATTTTTTTTTAGTTGTTAATGGACCTTTATTTAATTAATTTATTYATATGTGGTGCTGCTAGGAAAGCCCTCTACCACTGAGCCACCACCCCAGCCCCAGACCTCTTTACATTTTTAAGTCAGGGTCTCACTAAGTTGCCCAGWCTGGCCTCGAATTTGAGACCTTCCTGCCTCGACCTCCCAAATCATTGGGAGTATAGGTGTGCACCAGTCTGGATTGCAACCTGGTAAATAACTTCCTTGAGAAGTCACTTACCTCTTTGAGACTTAGTTTTCCCTTCAGTAAATCGTGCCAAGTGTGTGCAGAGTCTGACCTGTCACCTGCTGACTCACTCCCGACCCTCTCCCCGCTGGGGACCACTGAGGTAGCCGGATGTCGACTGTGTTTCTCGGCCCCCATTCACCCAGCTTAGTGACAGATSCCAGCTGGAGCTAATGCAGGGCCCCACCCCTCCTCCTGGGGACTGCCCCACAGGAGGGCATACTCCCAAGCAGGACCCACTCACCCCCAGGAAGCTGGGCAGCTCCCGGGTCAGGAGTTCCTTTAGCTCTGCCTTGTTGAGCTTGAACTTGTCGCCCTCTTTGCCAGAGTACTTGTGGAAGGTGGACACCATCACATCCAGGGCCTTCTCCAGGGGGCAAGCCATGGCAGCAGTCGGGACCTGGGGGCAGGAGGCATCTTACCCGGCAAACCTCARCCATGTACCTAGAGCCCCACTCCACTCCCACCTTGAGGGGCACTTGGTGAGACTCTACTCCCACCCCCAAGGGACCCCGAAGAAGCCGGCTCAGCTCCTGGTGTGGAAGAGGTGCACCGTGGGGAACATGTGCTTTGGGCAGTGGCTCCGGAGATCCAGGCAGCAAGTCCCTGGGCCTCCCTCCAGCCTGGCCTCAACAACAGCRTTTTTCCAGCCCTCTGCCAGCCACAAGTGCCCCGCCCCGGCTCATTCTTCTCCCTCCCAGCACGGGCGCGGCTGCTGGAGGCCTGCCCAGGGGCCTGCAGCGGAAAAAACCAGCTGCCTACAGCCTAGTGCCCAGCACCCTGCACAGGGACGGGCAGGAAGAGGTGGCAGAGGTGGGGATGCAGGGGAGGGGAGGGAGTTCTCTTGGGCTGGGCTGCGGGGTGCAGGCAGAGGCAAAAGCCCACAGGTGCCTTCGCTTTGCCTCCCACACCCRAGTGTGCACACAAGAGCTTGTGCAACCCAGAAGACACAAGCTGGTGGGCCAATCATGGGGCACACGCAYCAGACACACTGTGGCAGCAGCACATCCAAGCCCTGGCCCCTCAGAAGCTCCCTGAGAGCTCGCATCCAGCCACCTCCACCCGTTTTCTTTTTTCACTCTCTCATACACACTTGTGCACACACATCCATGCGCGTGCACACGTGTGCACGCACACCCGAGGCTCCACATCAGAATCTCACATCTGGATYCATTTAGTACATCTGCCCCCCCACTCTGCCCTTCTCCTACCCCAGCCTCGGCCTCGGACACCCCTTGCCTGCTGGTCAGGCCACACAACTCACCAGACCCAGAGAGAGGAAATGCTGGGGAGAGCTGTGGGGAGAGCCCAGCAGCCTGACCTATTTATACCCAGCCAGGCCCTGCCCATGCAGGGGATGGGGGGGAGCGGAAACTGCCCTCCTGCTGTGGTAAGAGCCTCAGCCCCCTCCACCAGGGCGGGAGCCAAGCTTCCCGTCCCCAGGCGCAGATGGGCACGGGGTACACCAGCAGGGACCCCCAGAGGGAGGGTACCACCCAGCGTCCACAACTTAGCCTGGGTGTCGGGGGTTGAAGACAGGGCAGTGTGTGCTGAGGTGTGGGGACAGGGAGGGAGGAGCCCACCAGATAGGAAAGGGAAGCCCTTCCCACAGGGGACAGGTGGGAAATGGCCTTGGGAACGTGGCGGCCCAGGCCTTGGGAGGGGAGCCCAGGCCCGTGCAGTGGGACAGCTTAGTAAGCTCTTCTTCCCTCCCCAGACCATGATGGCGGTGGTGTGAGTGTGGGGAGCAGGTCCAGGAGGGGATGGGACGCCCCAGGTGTTTCCCTGGGAACGCTCCTGGGGGAGGTGTGGTGGAGTGGTGGGTGGGAGTGAGCTGTGGGGCTCAGGAATGGATGCAAGGTTCAGAGAAGGGGTCAGGAGGGGCCGTTAAAGATGGGATGGGTGTCAGGAATAAAGAAGCCAGGTGGCGAGGGGAGCTAGGGGTGGGCKAGAAACGGGCTAACCTCTCAAGGTGCGGCAGGAACTCAGGATTGATTAGGACCAGTGGTGGGCATTAAGGCCCCCAGGGGACTGTGGTTTCAGGGGTGGGGTTTGTCTCAAGATACCCYCCTCCCATACAGAGAAGCTTCCCTGGCTGGGAGCAAACACCTCAGACACCCTAATCCTATTAGTGCTGCCCTCTGGGCTCCCACGGCCCCACCCCACCCCCTGGGCCCCACCCTCCTCCTGGGAACATCCAGTCCTGAGGGTTCAGTTTCGCCCCCTGCACCCCCACCACGACCCTCCCTTTTTGATAGCCCAGGAGGGGGGCTTCTCCCTCAAAGACGGGGCAGAGGGACTCCCCAGGGTCCCCTGGATGGGCGTGACCCCCCCCTCCTGCTGGACCATGGAGACCAGTGCATCTGCAGCATTTGAAACTGCCCTCAGGCCCGTGGGGAGCTCCGACTCCCGCCCTCAGCCTCCTTCCTCCAGTGGAAAAGTCCAGAGAGGAGCAAAGAGCTCAGCAGCACTCTGTCCCAGGGCCCAGCATGTCCTCGCAGAAGAATCGACCAACCAGGCTGACACCAGGGCTTTATTAGGGTTAGACAGGCCCTTCCCCCCTGGCATCGGCTATGCACACCCTGCTGGGCCTGGCCTCAGAGCCCACCGCTCCGTCCCCTCCGTCCACAGTAGGGAGGCAGCGGGGGTTGATAGCTGCACCCCCCCACCTCGCCAGCCGGGCATCTGGGCATCCTGGGAAGGTCTCTGAGCCCTGGGTAAAATGGGTGAACCTGGGCCATTCCAGATCCAAAGAGTGACAGGAGGAAGGACAGGCAGGGCCTGGGAGACTGCCCAAGGCCAGCCCCCGGTGGGGGCTACTCAGCACAGGGGGGCTCTGGGCGGCAGTCCTTGAAGTACTCGTGGCAGTAGAGACAGAGGCAGGCCAGCGAGCGCACGTACTCGGCGAAGTCCACCTCGCAGTCCTTGTTGGTGTCCAGGACACTCATGAATTTATTGTAGTCGCACTCCCGAAACTCAGTCTGTGCCAGGGCGGGATGGGAAGGGACGCACGAGCAGGATTAGGAAGGCAGAAGAGCCCCCCTGCATTGCTTCCTCTCCCCCCACAACCCACAGCCTCCTGGGGACCAACCTCAGCCTCCCTCTCCTGGTGAGGAACACGCCCATTTCTGTCCCCCTTTCTCAGCCCTTTCCCCAGGGCCTGCTCTTCACTGTCAAGTGCCTGCTGTTTTAGTCTTTCTCCACTGAGCTCTCACTTGATCCTCCCCAAACCCTGCAAAGTAGCMGCAGTGACCGTCACCCCGTGCTGTGTCAGTTCCCTTCCTCCAGAAGCCTATCCTCTGCCCGCGTGCTGCCCTACACTCGTGCTTGTCCACCGGTCCCTCTTTGCAAGGTCCAGGCAGAGCCATCTGCTGTCAGGGAAGGGCGGGCGGGCAGCCCGGGGCTCACCGGGGTCCAGGAGGGCAGCTCCTTCTGCAGCAGCTCCTTGAGCTCCGACTGACAGAGCTTGTACTTGTCCCCGCAGCGTCCTGCATATTCCTGGAAGGTGCACACGACGGCAGCTATTGCCTGCTCCAGGGGCCGGGTCATCCTCACTGTCACAGAGCAAGGATGTGAGCTGCAGCAAAGGCCAGCCAGCCCCTCTGCTCGCCTCTGCCCGCRGAACTTCCCAGGGACCCCTTCCTGGTGTTTCCTAGGGCTCTTCCAGATGTCATCTCCACCAGGCTTCAGGCCCCCCAAGCTCTCCTCCTCCCAGCAGCCCTCCCTGACCACACTAGTTCCCTTTCCCGCTGCCCCCATTGTGATTCTCCTGGACAAAGAGGTCTCACTTCCCAGCGTCAGCGCAAACTCCTCGAGGAGAGACTGCCGCACCCACCACCCTCACCCCCACAGTGGAGCTCCCTGGGGTCTCCCTGACACTTGCCCACCTTCTCTGACCCACAATGGCTCAGTCCCCTGCTCGGCGTCACCTGCTCCCACCCTAGAGGTCTCCTCCCCTCAGGACCCCAGAGTCCCTTCCTGAAGGAACCTGAGTAGGAGGTCCTTGCCCTCAGGCCCTGGGGAAGCTGAGCATGGGCAGGGAGGGTCCAGTCTGAGAGGAACCCCCAGACCCCCTGCCTCCTGCCCCGAACCCAAGGAAGCTGCAGTCAAGAGAATCACTGGGAGCCTCTGCCCCGCCAGCGAGCACCTGGGCGAGCCATTTCTCCCTCGGGTCTCAGAGGCCTTAAGGGGGCTCCGTCCCACCCGTGGGCCTAGCAGGGACATGAACCAGAAGGCCTCTGGGGAGTTGGCCCGCTCAGGGATTTGCCATCTGTCACCGGACTGACGTGGGGGAGGCCATCCTCAGACCCCTGGGGGCCTTGAGATAGAAGACCCAGTTCTGATGGAGGGGAAGCCAGCCTGGCATTGCACCCCTCCCTAAATCTCAGTCCCCTTCCAGGATAATTGCTGCAGCCGAGGGAAACCCTGGGCAGCCAGGAAGACGAGTTGTTTCCATGTGAGCCCAGTGACTCACTCCTGCTTCCCCAGGGGACGGGATCCTGCAACACGGGACAGACAGGGCGATACTCTCTCCCCAGCCATTCCCCTTCTGCGGGGGCGAATGGCCATCCTGATTGGCAGGGACGTAGGGGGCTGGGGTGCCAAGCTTGCTGGGTCCTAATTCTCTGTAACAGCCCGGGGTTAGAGCGAGGTATCCATGTTCCCTGGAGAGGAAGGGCATGGTCCCCGGGAGTCAGGAGCCTCTGAGGTGCACAGCATGCCCTCCTGGGCTCCCGCCAGTCTGCCTGGCACCACCTGTGCTACTGTTTCAGAAGCTCAGGGCCTGGAGCCTGGCAGGAATCTTTCCCCACAGCCCTGGCTTGTCCCAACCCATCCCCAGGAATGAAGCCAGGGAGCAAGGACAGGGCAAGGAGCCAACTAAGGGCTCCACCAGAACTTCTAGCCCACTGCCCGCTCCTGGAGCCAGACCTCAGTTCTGCACACACACACCCAGGCCTGAACCTCCAGAGAGCCCTTCATGACAGCCCTTCATGTAGGACTTCCCTCACCCCATCACCCGTGTGGTCCTCTCTCTGCCCACCCCCATGCCCAGACGCTGGGTCAGGAGACAGGCTGGCTACCGGGGAGGCCCCCTGAGCTACCCTAACACCCGACCCAGGGAAGGACCAAGCGGCCACCACTCACCACAGGTGTTGGCGTTTCAGTTCCAGAAGCCTAGGGACAGGGCATCCCTATTTGTACCTTCCCCAGGAATGAGGGCAGTAATTATGGGAGTCCCAAGTAGGTCAATGCTAAGGCTGCCCCCGGGGCTCACCTGCGTGCTTCCCCCAGCAGTGCCCATTACAGGCCCACCGCCCACCATCCACGCACACATCAAAGGCCCGCTCTGGCCTCAAACACCACTCCCCATTCACCCCTCTCCCGCCCCCAGTGGGAACTGGGGCCTGCGTCCTTCCAGCCATGGCTGGCCAATCCCTCCCATCCCTCTCCCGTCTCTTCCCTCTGAAGAAGCACCCACAGTACAAGGTGGGGACACACGTTCGCCTCCTTTAGGTTGCACCCCAGAGCCTCCGTGCAAGGAGGCGCCTTGGCGACCATCGGGGGAAGCCCTCATCCTCAAACGGGAAGAAAGGCCAAGGAGACCCCTCTTTGCCCGACCTCCGCATCCCTTGGCTGCCGGCTTGCTGGAGGCTGCGTGTGAACTGCTTGCTCCCCTGGGAGAGGTTACTGGGGGGTGTCCTGAGGCCTAGGCAGAGGATGCTCCTCCTAGGGGGCCTCCTGCAGGCTGGGCTTGAGTTTTCTAGCCCTCCGCCCCAAGTGATGCAAAGGAACCTGGGCTTCAGACTCTGGAGAGCCACTTGGGCTTGGTTCCTGAAGAGTCGCTCTGCTCTGCTCGGCACTTGGGCAACTACCCTTGCGGGGTGTGTAGGTCCTCTGCCTTCTAGTTTAAGCATGTAGCCCTTTAGGGTTCCAGCATTATGTGGGGTGTCTTTCAGTTGTGCTGCCTCCTCCGTGAACCCTGGGCTTCAGCTTCCCTCTTCCCAAATCCCCAAAGCCCAGATTTGGCTTGGCTTGGCCAACGCCTTCAGGGCMTGAGGCCCGGTGCCCTGTTCACCTCCCAGATTCTGCTTTTCGCTTAGATTTTGATCTACTCATTATTAYTGCCTTGGCGAGTCTCTGAAAAAATAGATAATTTTAATTGTATCCAGAATTTCCTCTGGTTGTTGTTTTGTTTTTTTGTTTTGTTTTTTTGCTTGAGCAGATGACCAGAAATGGAAATCCTTTCACGTCGGTTCTCTGTTCTCCCTCTACCCCTAAGTTCCCTGTTTCACAGAAAGAGATTGAAGACCTAGGAGAGTAGGGTGGGGTGGGGAGGGGACAACCAGGACAGTGAAGACATCCTCATGCCCACAGAGGAAGCCCGAGAGCTAACGACCCTTGACCTCACCCGGGCCCAGCACCCAGCCTCGCCTGGGTCGTCACCTCCACGGCCCCCACCCCCTGGAGACGGGCAGAAGGGAAGGACAAGCTGTGATTAACCCTGTTTTATAGGCAGGGAGTTACGGGGAGCAGGGAAGAGGGCAGAGACAGGCCTCAGAAGCGGGGGCCCTGTTGAGCCAACAATTAATTTGGTTCTAGGTCAACCACTTCTTCCCCCCTGAAGTGGGTCACTTCTGCTCCCGGGGCTTCCTCTGCCAATGACGGAGGACAGTAGTAGTAACGACCACGTAAGTTTGTTGTGGGGCTTAAATGAGTTAATAAATACAACGCTCATGGAATAAATAGCTGCCCAGTACGTAGGAAGGGCCTGTTGATGCCCAAGGCCACATACCTAGTGAGGGGCAGGCTCAGGATCATGTGAATATTCAGAGGCATCTGTGCTGGCACCTGGCACCATGAACAAAAGGGATACAGTCCAGGGGCTGGGGTTGTGGCTCAGTAATTGATAGAGAGCTTGCCTAGTGCTGCTGAGGCCCTGGGTTCAATCCCTAGCACCACATTAAAAAAATTAAATAAACAAAATAAAGGTATTGTGTCCATCTACAACTAAAAATATTTAAAAAAAAGAAAAGAAAGATACAGTCTCTGCTCCAGGGAGATGAATCTAGCCGGGGAAACAGACAATAACAAATGAATGTTTAACAGGCTGGTGACATAATGTCAAGAGGGAAAATAAAGCAGAGTTATGAGAAAGAAAATGGTGTTGGTGAGAGGCTGCTTTAGCTGGGTGGTCAGGGGAGAACCCAGAGCCAGGCTCCCAAATCCACGTGCTTATCTACCAGCCTTTAATGTTGCTGGACATGGCTGCCCCGCCCTGTGTCTGTCCCCTGGGAGAGCTGGGAAAGGCCAGGCAGACGGCAGAGGGGCAAGGAGCTCACTCTGGAAGGTGACTCCTGAGGGTGGGCTGGGTACAAACCCATGGGAATTGGAGGACCGTCATGGAAGGACCCTAGCCAGACCCTCACTCAGAGTTCCACCGCTCTCCACCAACTGACCTCAGCATGCGTGCCTTTACCTTTTTAGGGCACTACTTTCTTTGCCTCTGAAATGGATCTGGAAGATTTCTACCTCACAGATCTCATGTGAAGCTGGTCGTGGTCCAGCAAACTGGGAGGCCAAGGCAGGCAGACGGCAAGTTCAAGGCCAGCCTGGGCAACTTAGGGAGACTGACTCAAGGGCCAGGTGTGGTGGCGCACAGCTGTAATGCCCTAGCTCAGGAGGCTGAGACAGGAGTCGTAAGTTCAAAGCCAGCCTCAGCAAGACCTTGTCTCAACATAAAAAAATAAAAAGAGCTGGGGATGTGGCTCAGTGGTAAAGAATCCCTGGGTTCAATATGTCAAGAGCTTTGTAATGTTTTGAACAACCAATATATATATATATATATATATATATATATATATATATATATATATAGTTGTAAATTTAAAAAAAAAAGAATCCCTGGGTTCAATCCCCAGGACCAACAGAGTGGGGGACTGGGGAATGTAGCTCAGTGGTAAAGTGACCCTGGGTTTAATTCCCAGTGGAGAAAAAAAGAAGAGGGAGGAGACAGAGAAGACTAAGAATCCAGTGTCGAAGGGCTTTGTTTCACTTGCTGTCACTGTGGGCCATGTGGGAGGTCTCGGGGTCCCCTGCCGGTGCGTCTTAGAGCATCTGTCTGGCGGTGCGTCTTAGAGCATTGTCCCCTGCCCCTTGTCCCCACTGTCAGTGCCATCATTTCACCAGGTTCCCTGGAAACTGCATCATCCACCTCAAGGTCACTGTCTGTCCTGGGCCTCAGGGGAAGATAAAATGAAGTGTCCTGAGCACCCGGGAAGTCCCTGCATTTGTGCCCAAAAGGCCTGAGCCCCGGGGACAGAGGATCATTCCAATCCCAGAGCCCCACGGGGCCAAAGAACCTTTCCCAACGCCTGACCTCCTTTCTCATGTCCTGAGCCAAGTATGGGGAAAGCCTGGGGAGGGGTATTGGATGACTGCAGATAGGGCTGGAGCCAGGCAGGACTCTACAGAACTCAGAAAAGAAGACCTGGGCTGGGATCCGGGAGTCCGTGAAGCTTAGACCTACCACTCTCTTTTGTTTTGTTTTT